GGGATTCCCGCTGTGGGGGGCATGGGGGCGGGGCATCGCTGTCCAAGGTCCTGTCCCACACGCATGTCTGTCCCGATCATCCCACCACCTGCCACATTCTTCCCTCCTCAGACCCTCTGCAGCTTCCCTGCAAGATGGGACTGTCTCTCAAGGCCACTGTGGGGCTTCTCTTCCCTTTCCTCAGCTCAGCCTCAGCGTTTGTGCTATGGTGAGTGAGGCCTTGGGAAGCTGTCTGTGAGGCAAACAAGCCGTGTCCACTGTGGGACACGTCAGGAAACCAGGAGACAGAGCGGGTGTCCGCTGGCTGGACCCAGAAAGGGGGGCAGGTCAAAAGCTGAAAAATTCACGTATCCTGTCAAAGAATTCCTGATGATTTCCTATCATCCTTGCAAAAAAGTTATCCGCTTACCAATCAGCTCTGTGCCGCAGGGTCAGAGGCCCTGATGAAGAAAGCCACCCAACGGGTTGTGACAATAACTCATTCCCTCTGGACACGGCTGAGGAAGCTGGACTTGCACCTCAAAAACAGATGTTTGCACCGTCTGTAACAGCAGGGTCTGGTGCAGCCACATGGGGGGCCACGCGGCTGGAAGGGAAAGTGGGCACATCTCCAGAAATAAATGCAAATGACCATCTCTATGCATCTCACGTTGAATGAAATAAAATAACCTGCTGTGAGTAACACCGGGGGCACAGTCTCAAAGAAAGGAACGGTCTCGGTCTCGAGGGGGTTGGGAGCAGTCCACGCTGTGTGTGCTCCCTAAGGACAAACGCACTGTTGGTAAAAGTCTCAGGTGATAATGAGCGCTGGTGAGGATGTCCAGAAGGTGGGGCCTCACGCACGACCCAGCGGGCACAGAACTGCAGACCCTCTGGAAACCAGTCGACAGCACCTCAAAGAGCTGACCACAGAGTTAGCATATGGTGCAGCGATCCTACTCCTGCATACACACCCAAGAAAAATGAAAACCTCTGACTGTACAAAAACGTGTTCACGAATCTGCAGAGCAGGACTATCCACGGCAGCAAAAAGGATCAACAACGCACATGCACATCGACGGCGACCAACAAAACGGCAGGATACTACTCAGCCACAAAAAGGAAGGCGGCACTGGCATTTGCTACGACGCTGATGAGCGAAAGGAGACACGCTCAGCAAAAGGAGACAGGCTCACGTATTGTGTGATTCTGGTTCTCTGAACTGTCCAGAAGGGGCAGATCCATGGAGACACAAAGTAAATCGGTGGCTGCTTGGGGCCGGGGGAGGGGTGAGGAGTGACTGCAGACCCCACACGGAAAAGCCCACCACCACTGGGCAGACACAGCCAAAGCAGGCAGGGCCCCGGTGGGAGGACCAAGGGTGGTGACGACACAACGGCCATGTGTGAACCCAGCACCTCTCTTCTGATGCTGAGGACGCAGCGGGCACATGGGGGGTGCTGGGGCAGTGCTCACTGAATCTGCTTTGTTCCAGATAAGTCCAGGGTGTGGGGAGCAAGGGAAGGGACAGCGGCCTGGAGTCGAAAGAGGTGTGCGGGTGTCAGGGTCCCGCAGACCCCCACCGGGCCTGCCTTTCCTGGTCCCCTGGCTCTACGGGGGAGCCCGGGAGGAGCCCTGGAGGCACGGCCTGAGAATAGGCCCAGGGAGTCCCCAGGACCCCACCACAGCCCCAGGGGCTCCACTTCCAAGGCCAGGACAGTGAGCAAAGAGAGATGGAAAGCATACTCAGAGGCGGCCACGGCCCAGTTCTCCCCAGCGCGGCTCACCCAGGGCCAGGAGGGGCCACGACGACGCAAGGGGGTGGGCTGAGGCAGTCAGGCCCAGGAGGGCCTCGTATCATCTGCTTAACTGCCTGCCGTGTTGGTGTCCGACACCGGCCACCTCCCACCGCCCCTGGCACGCCTGAGAAGCTGAGGGAAGCGGGTCAGCACTTAGGGAATGAGCCCTGAGGCAGACAGAGGAACCCGGCTGTGGCCAGAGATGGCTCTTACCTGGAGCCCGACAGGCGCTGAGGCTCCTGCTCGGCCTCCTCTCCCTGCTGACTTTCCAGCCTGGCCGTCGAGGGCTGCCCTGCCTCCTGCGGTCCAGCCTCAGGCTCCCTTTTCGGACTGGCGGCGGCGCCCGCTCCAGGTGACCTGTCTGCTGCATCGAGCTGAGGACCTGGGGTGTGTGTCAGGCACTTGTTGGAAGTAGGGGCGTCCTCTGGGGGCAGGGGGCACGGGGCGTCCGTGGGCAACGCCTCTGGCGCAGGTCGGGCCTCCTCCTGTCTCTCGGCAGGGCCCTTGGCGCCGGCCTTGGCGGAGCCCATGTAGGAGGCGCTGATGACGCTTCCCGGGCCGCACTTGTCCCGCAGACTCTGGGCAGCGGCGTCCTCCCTGCCGCCCCCACAGCCCCCGCAGCACACGCAGGAGTTCAGGAGACAGCTGGTGGCCGCAGCACTGAGTTTGTGGGAGCCACCGTCCATCCCCTCGGCCGCAGGCTCCGACGGGGAGACGCCCTCTCCAGAGGCTTCCGGGGCGGTGCCGGCCACGCCCACGGCCGGGGTCGATTTGGGATTGAAGATGACGGTGGCCGAGAGCTTCATGCCCCCTGTCCGGTGGGCGATCATCTCCGCCGTCCCCGCGGCGTCCACCCCCGCCTCCCAGCCCTCCAGGTGTGGCTGGGAGTCCAGGCAGCTGCAGGAGTTGGGGCCCAGCGCCCACAGCTTGTCGTCCTGGACGTTGTTGTTAGTGCTCAGGTCCCCCTCCTCTGCCTCGGCGGGCCTGCTGGCCCCTGCCTGCCCACGCCCCCTGCCCTGTCCTCTCTCCTGGGGGCCAGCACTGGCGCTGCCCGCCCACCCAGCCGGGCTGCCCGGGGCCTCTGCAGCCCCTTCCACGTCATCCATGAAGAACACCCTTCCTTCCTCCTCGTCACCGCGTGGCCGCAACCCTGCGCTGCCTGGGGAGGCCTCCCCGCGGGGGCTGCCCTCCGCCCCCGGCCTGTGCGCGGGGGACTGGCAGGCGCTGGGCGGGGAGAGGAGGGAGGACATCTCGTCCCCGGCCCTGTGGACCATGCGGTTGAGTTGCTCTAGCTCCTGGTCGTCATACTGCATGGAGCAGGCCAGCTCCCCCTCCTGGCTTTTGGCCTTGGCTGAGAGCATTTCCTCGGCGGGGAGGGGTGAGGGAAAGGCGGGCGCCAGGGCTGGGGGCGCCTGGGCGTCTGCCCGGATGGGAAACTCCACGTCTTGGGAAATGCAGAGATTCCTTTCCAGCGTGTGAAGCTCCTCCTCGGTCAGGGTCTGCAGCAAATCCCTAAAGGGTCAAGATAAGAACCAGGGGTGAGACTCCCAGAGGCCACACCAGCCCCATGGCCAGGAGTGGACACAGCATCCTCGACGTCTGCATCAGCAGAGAAGCAAGGTGTCAAAGCCTTGCAATGAAATGCGCGTAGCGCACACCTCCCCCGCTACAGGACGAGGCACAGGCGTGCGGGGACTGCTCCGTGCCACAGGTCTGGACAACAGCTGTCCGCATGGATGCCTGGGATGGTTTCTTTCTTAGAAGTGAGACTGGAAACAAGAGGGCCCTGGTTCTTGGGGATGTGATCATCACATTAAGAAAACCTTCTAGGAGTGAAAAAAAAGTTGGTTTACGCATAGACTTTCATTCAGCACACGTTTTTGACAGCGGTCTCTGTGCCGGGCCCCAGGGAGACGCAGGAAGGCCCAGACAGGTCCCTGCCCTTGGGGCTGCGCTGGAAGAGCCGGTAAGAGACAGATTTCCATGAACGATGACTGAGTTACATTAACAGCAACTACGACAAAGGAAAATGCCTGCTCTCTCGAGGGTAACAGCAGGGCACCGGGCTCAGTCTAGGGAGACTTCCTGGGGGAAGGGGCACTGAACCCGAGACCTGAAAGGGGTTAATGTAGTGGCGCTGGGGTGTGTCTAGCGCAGGCCTGCGCCTTGCTCTCTGCCAGCAGGTCTGAGTCCAGGTCACACATTCCTGTCGGTCACGGAAACAGGCAGAAAAGCGTACTTCCCAGAACCGCACAGCTGTGGCGCCTCATGCACTGAGCACGCCCGTGCAGACAGCATCAGATCAAACGACGGAACACGAACCAGGCTCCCAGGCCCCCACGTGCCTTTCCAGTCACCCCCTGCCATCGCCAGCAGCCTGACTTCTAAAGACGGACGTGGTCTCGCCTGTTTTCATTCCGCACGTAAGTGGGAATCGCAGCCCACGCTCTTCAGAGGCGGGCTTCGTTTGGCAATATCGTATTTGAGTAGAGCCTCCAGACGACATGCAGGTAAATGTGAATTTCAGATAAACGACAAACACTCCTAGACATGTGAATATTTCTTCGGGTACGTATTCCCAAATGGGGAGCATACGGGACATTCTTGCACTAAGAAAGTGCTCACAGTTTATCTGAAATTCAAATTCAGTTGAGGGTTCTGCTGGTTTTGTCTCGCTGGATTTGGCAACCCCACCTGGTGAGGTTCTGTGTGGTCGATGGTCTCGTCTCGTGGCCTGTAGCCTTTCGGGCTGGAAACCACCACCGTTCACCCGGGGAGCTGTTCCTGGTGGGCTCCACTCCTGGTGGGCTCTGACTGCCCCGACTCACCCTCTTGGCGAGCCTCTCTGGGGCACGCACGTGCGCATCCCTGCAGGTGCACATGGGGGGGCGCGTGCCCAGGGAACGCACATGCGCATCCCTGCAGGTGCACATGGGGGGGGGGCGCGTGCCCAGGGAACGCACGTGCGCATCCCTGAAGGTGCACACGGCCGTGGGGGCGGGGAAGCGTGCCCAGGGAATGCACGTGTGTGTCCCGGCAGGTGCACACGGGGGCGGGGGGAGGGGGTGAGCGTGCACACTGGACAGCCCCCATGACGCTCTCTGGCCTGCTCCCCGGCACTGCCATGCACTCCCGGCAATTTTCACTTTAAAGTGCTCAGCCTGCTGATGAATGAAGGAAACACCGGGGTACATGCTTGTCAGCCCTTAGATACGAATGCTGTGAATGCTTTCAGGTCTTCTGCCCATTTTTACTTGGCTTCGCGGTCTCCTTCTTACTGATTGACAGGAGTTCTTTACTTGTTTTGGATTTGAGTTCTTTGTTGGATATATTCTCCAACTCTAGGGCCTTCCTTTTCACTCTTAATGGTACCTCCTGATGAACTACAGTTTTTAATTTCAATAAAGTTCAATAAATCACTTTTTCCTTTATGTTTAGTGCTCTTCTGTCCTGTTTAAGAAATCTGCCTACTCCAAGGTCACAAAGATGTTCCTGCTCTTTTCCTCTGCGATCTCCACTGCTTTCCTTTCCATGTGTGTATCTCCCATCTATCCGGAGTTGATTCTTGTAGATGGTTGTGGTAAGGATCCAGACACGTTTTTCCTCATATGGATATCTGCTGAGTCAGCCCATGTACTGGAAAAAAGCAAGCATTCCCCACTGTTCGGCAACGTCTCCTCTGTCATAAATCCGGGAAACCTGTCTGTGTTGGTCTGTTTCTAGGCTCCATTCTGTTGATGGGGCCAGAAGCCGCTCCTGGGTCTGCACCTCCGTGAGCTTCACTAGAGCGCCATGCCAGGGAGTGTCCTTTTTTACGAAGCACACTCAGCAGAAATGCACACACATTCACAAGCATGGTCACACCAGCATTACTTGTGGAAACAACCCAAAGCCCAGCAGGAGTAGGATAGATAAATAATGTTCTTTTTCTCCAGGCATCTTCTTCTTTTTAGCTATTCTGGGCACACTGCATTTCTACCTGAATTTTAGAATTAGTTTGTCAATTTTGTGCCAAAAAAGAAGAGACAAACACCTCCGGAGATTTTGATGGAGACTTGCACTGAATTCATCTGAGAATAACGGGATATTTTCTCAATGTTAAGTTTTCCACTCCTTGAACATGGATAGCTCTCTATTTACATCTTTAACATTTTATGTAACATTTCATTAACTTTCAATGGAAGACTTAGACACCTTCAGACTTATGCTTAACTAGCTGATATTTAGTAATGATATTGTAGGTGATATTTAAATTTTTATTGTGATCAAATACATATGACATGACATTTACCATCATAACCATTTTTAAGTGACAATTCAGTGGCATCGAATACATTCACATCATAGTGTAAACATCACTACCATCCACCCCTAGAACTCACTCATCTCGTAAAAGTGAAACTCTGTCCCCACGAAACACTAACCACACGCTCTCCTCCCTGGCTCTCACCATCCTACTCTCCATCCCTCTGATTCTGACTAGTTCAGGCCCCTCATATAATTGGAATCATACACAGTCTATCTTTTTGTTACTGGCTTACTTCGCCAAGCACGCCTTCAAGGTTCATCTGTGTGGTGGCAGACGTCAGGATTTCCTTCCTTTTAAGGCTGAATGATATTCCATTGTGTGGCTGGACTACATTTCACTTATCCACTCATCCATCAATGGACACCTAGGTTGCTTCCACTTCTTAGCTATTGTGAATAACGCCTCTGGGAACACAGGTGTATAAATGTGTCTTTGAGACACTACTTTCAATTCTCTTGGGTATATACCAGATGTGGAATTGCTGGATCAGGTGATAATTCTATTTTTCATTTTTTGAGGAACCTCCACACCATTTTGCACAGCACCTGCAGCATGTTACACTCCCACCAATAGCATACAGGGTTCTAATTTCTCTGCATCCTCATCCACACGGTTATTTTGTTTTGTTGTTGTTATTTTTTGTTTTGAGGGTAGCCAGCCTAATGGGTAGGATCTCGTTGTGGTTTTGATTTGCACGTGCTCTGACAATGATGTCGAGCATCTATTCATGTGCTTGACCATTCATAAATCTTCTTTGGAGAAATGTTTAATTAAATCCCTTGCCCTTTTGAATTGGGTTGTTTGGTTTTTGTTGGTGGGTTTTAGGAGTTCTCTATATATTCTGTGTATTGATCCCTTTATATCCCAGATACAAAATAGGAGAATATTTTCTCCAGCCTGTGGGTTGCCTCTTTATTCTGTTGAGAGCATCTTTCGATGCACAAAGTTTTAAACTTTTCAAGTCCAATTTGTCTATTTTTTCTTTGTTGCCTATGTCTTGGTATCCTATCCAAGAAATCATTTCCGAATGCAATGTGGTAGAGCATTTGTCCAGTGTGGTCTTCTAAGAATTTTATTGTTTCAGGCCTTGAATTTATGTCCTGGATCCATTTTGAGTTCACTTTTGTATATGGTGTTACATAAGGATTCAACTTCATATGGTGTGTATGCATATCTCTCTCTTGTATCAGACTAAGGAAATCCCCATTTATTCCTAATTTGCTAAGAAATGTTTTCATCATAAAATATGTACTGACTTTTTCAAATTCTTATTCTGTAACTTTTGAAATTTTACAAATTAATGTAGCAAAATGCTGATTTTTCAAATGTTGACAATGCTATGTATAGTTTGAACTCCACAAGACATTACAATGAGTTTTTTGTATATCCACATTTATTTATATTAATTCACAGAAAGTTCTTCAATCTCTCTTGCATTTCCACATTTCCACCTGAAACTTCTCCTTTGCCTAAAGAACTCCAATTAGCATTTCTCTGTGGACAGGCTGCTGATACATTTCTGCAGCACTCTGCTTTTGAATAACACCATTTTACCTTCATTGTGGAAGGATACTTCTGCTGGGTATAAAATCCTGGTTGGCAGCTAGTTTCTTTCAGCACTTTTAATATGTATCATTTCATTGCCTTCAGGTTCCCATTGTTTGTTTGTTTCTTAGGAGACAGCTGTCAATCTTACATTCTTTTCCAAGAAATATGTGCTTTTTCTCTGGCTGTGCTTAAGATTTCTTCTTTGTTTTCAGCAATTTTACTATGATACACCTAAGTATGTTTTGTATTTATCTTCCTTGTAGTTTTCTTGAGCCTCCTAAGTGTGTGGGCAGAGATTTCTCTTCAGTTTGGGAAAATTCTTGGCCATTTTTTTCTTTGAATATTGTTTCTGCTCATTTTGCTCTATTCTTTCCTTCTTGTTTTTTTTTTTTTTTT